TGGATTTCTATGTCGCCCCATGTGCTTAACTCGTTCATCCAGCGTGTCTTTTTCTGTGTGGCATCAGGGTCCCAGCGGAGTTTGGTCCGTTGCAGCAGTGGCTTATGATCGGTGATAATGGTAAACTTCGAACCATAGAGGTTGATGTGGGTTTGTTGGAGACCCCAGACTATAGCCCACAACTCCTTGTCGTATGTACACCAGTTTCTTTCTGTTGTACTCAGTGCACTCCTATGGTAGGCAATTGCCCGCTCCTGTCCATCCTGCACCTGACTTAAAACACATCCGACTGCAAAATCGGATGCATCCGTGTGCAGGGTGAAAGGTTCGCCCCATCTTGGAAACCCCAAGATTTGAGGCGACATCAGTCGACTCTTCAGAGTGTCGAAGCTCTCTTGACATGCATCATCCCACCAAAGGGTATATGCTTCTCCGTGAGCTGAATCATGGGCTTGGCAATCTTTGCAAATCCCTCCACGAAATGACGATTGTACGAAGCCAGGCCGATGAAACTCTGTACCTGCTTCACCGTCTTTGGCACGGACCAGTCTTTTATCTTCTGGATGTTAAATGGATCTGGTTTGATTCCAAGTCGGCTCACGTGGTGTCCGAGAAAAATGATCTGGTCCTTGCAGAGATGACACTTGCTGGGCTGGAGCTTCAACCCCCATCTTTCAACATATCACGCACTTGCTCCTCCAACTCGTGCCGCAAGTGGAAAGGAATCCTACGTGGTGCCTGCTTGATAGGTTGGGCATCTCCCGTCTCAATACGGTGCTCCACGAGATCCGTGAATCCTCGATCGTTTGGTGTTTTACTGAAAATGCTATTGTATTTCTTCAAGAGGGACTTCAGACGTGGCATCTGGCCCTTCTTGAGTTTACACCCAGACAAATCAACGGAGGGAATCCCTTCGCTGTCGACTGCTTCTGTTTTGCTGTCTTCTTCGCCCTCTGGTTTGTATTCTTCTTTTAGCTCATACGTGCGTCTCACCGTGTAGGATTGTGAACCTCCAAGGCAATGGAAATCTCCGAGACATGTACCCTTGACAATTTCTAGCGGCTCTGGTTCTGGATTTATAATCCGCACTGGAATTAACAAATTTTCCACCATTGCCGCGATACGGGACACGATTAGTC